TTTATTTTGTGAAGAGTTGGGGGTTAAATCCAAGCAATCTTGTATGCTAAGCAAGGGCTTAGGTGAGCATCCCAACCCTACCGTGCTTCGATCAATCTTTCCCACACTGACTTTTCGGAATCTGAGTTCTATTTGCATTAAACACATTACAGACCTGTACACAGGCATGATTTAAAAAAAAAAAAAAAGGCTGGGGGGAAGCCAGTCGCCGGTGGCTCACACCTGTAATCCTAGCTACTCAGGAGGCTGAGATCTGAGGATCACGGTTCAAAGTCAGCCGGGAGAAGGAAAGTCGGTGAGACTCTTATCTCCAATAAACTACTCAGAAAACTGGAAGTGGCCATGTGGTTCAAGGGGTAGAGCGCTCCCTTGAGCTGAAGAGCACAGGGACAGCACCCAAGCCCAGAGTTCAAGCCCCACGAACAGCAACAACAACAAAAAAAAAGGTTTCCACTAATGGTGTACATATTACATGCCAGATAACAAATTAAGATCTTTCTTCAAATGCAAAAGTTGTAAAGAATATGTCATAAGATCTACTTGTAGGAAAATTGAGGCTCAGAGAAGATATTTCTCACAGTCAATAAGTAACAGAACAAAAGACACATTCAAGTTTTGTATGATTCAAAGTTCATACTTGTGCATGTATATATACATACACATATCTTTCTCATGGGCATCTTTACTTATTTGGTGTCATCTAAAGCACCTACATGCTGTATCATTCATAAAGAAGTATTCTTTAACAAGCAAGTTCCAGAAAACCATTGCAAAGATAGCAGTTACCAAAGATAAGGTTAATTAAATGGTTTCTAATACTAGTTCCCAAAAATAAAGGCTTAAATACCAAAAATAACTTACAAATACCATTACATTAAATTGGTAAAATAATAAACTGACGTGTCGCTGCTTAAATGTTTTAGGAATACTGGAAACCAGTATGATTCCTCTACCTCTAGACTTCCTCCACTCCTAAACACGAGTCTAATCACCAAGGAAAGACTTAGCTATAAACTTTTCTGGGGTTTGGGGGATTTTTTTTTGGGGGGGGGGGGAAGCTTTGTTTTATTTACCAGAGCTGGAGACCAAACTCAGGGCCTTGCACTTGCCAGGCATGTGCACTTCCACTGAGCTAAATCCCCAACCCCAAACTGTTTAATTTTGCCATCAGTTATTTAAAAACAAAACACTCTTGGCCCTAGGGAAATGGCAAACAATGTGAAAGAAAGCAAGCCCAGAGTCTGCTTAACTAACCTCACCTGGTTTTAACACACTAAGGAGCACACCTGTAAACGCTCATTACCTAAACATCCTCTCTTCCTGGATACAAAGGCTTCTGCAGCAGGTTTTAATCACCTTGCATATTATGGCAGCAATCGCTGTGCACTTATTCAATGTGAAAGGTGACAATCACGTTTACGTTGGGATAGTCTGTATTTTAATGCCACGATAAACATTAGCATGAAATGAAATCGGCTATCCATGCATTCCATGACAAATGTGTGAAACAGATTTTTAAAAGGAAAGAAAATTCATCATCTTTACTCTTTTACAGAGAGAGAGCGTGAGAAAGAGAGAGGGGGAAGGGGGGAAATATCTGACATCTGATTCAACTGGGTATTCTCTCCCAACATATGCCACACCTTCTAGGTTGACAAAAGAGAGCGGTATCTGGTTCTTTTTCTCTTTCTTTCTTTAAAAATCCAAAGAGGAGCCCACTCAGACCTCGTGCCAGCAGCAAATTCTAAGAATGAAGAATTCCACGGCTAACACAGACCCGCTTTCCCCTTTCCAACAGCCAGAAGAGGGTGGGGTGCGGTGGGGGAGAGGCGGGTTGAGCCCAGAACGCACGAGTGGGCCACCCGAGGCTGGCTCATCCCAAACTTCACCTTGGCACCGCCAGAGGCAGGAAGGCATCAGGAATTCCTAGGAAATGGTCTCGCCCCTATCAAAGCACATTTTTAACTTCCTCCAAGCCTCCATTTCCCCGGGGCATTATCAACACACTCCCACCCGGACGTATTACCTAAGAGGCGACTTGTGGGAAAAGGGCACACACACACACACGCACACACAAAGAAAACACGCGCAGCTCTCAAGCGGGCGGCCAGACTCGACCCGCGCGGAGAAGCCCCGAGGGCGCAGGGGACCCGGAGCCCGAGCGGCCCCGGCGGTCGCGCCGACGGGACCTGCGCGCTCGCGAGGTCCGGCTCCAGCCCGCGCCCGACGCCCGGGCCCCCGGGGCAGGAAGCCGGGCTCCGCCGCGCTGCGGCGGCGGCGGCCGGAGCGATAAGGTGGTCGGGCGCTTCCCACCCCGCCCGCTCCGCCCTCCCCGGCCGCATTCCTGAGAAGCCGGACTCCTCGGACGCCGCGCGAGCCGGGGGGCCGGGCGGGCAGGAGCGCGACGTGTGGCCGCGGGGCATCGGCGCCGAGCCCGCCCCGCGCCCGCAGCCCGCAGCCCGTCCGCCCCCCGCGCCCGAGCGGCGCCTCCCGGGCGGGGTCGCAGCGGCCACCCCGCCACAGGTAGCGCGAGCCCGCGCCCGCCGCCGCCCCGCAGGCCCGCTCCCCGCACCTGGATGAACTGGATGGTGAGCGCCGACTTGCCCACGCCGCCGCCGCCGACCACCACGAGCCGGTACTTCTCCTGGCCCGAGCCGTCCCGCCAGCTGGCCGCGGCCATGGGGACGCCGCCGAGCCCGGCCGCGCCGAGCCGCCGCCGCCGCCGCCGCGCGCCCTAGGCCCGGCTTCGGGGACTTGTGCGGCCGGCGGGTTCCGGGCGAGCGGCCGGGCGGGGGTCCCGAGCGCCCCGGAGGTTGCTGGGAGGGTCGGCCCGCTCCGCAGCACGGCCCCTGGGGCTTGACTGGGTGCCACCCGAGGCGCAGAGCGTCCCGGGACACACCGGGAACCAGGGGTGGCCGCGGCCAGAGGGACGCGCTCCTCTCCGCAGCTCCACAGGCGAACGGAACGCAGCCTCCAGCGCCGCTACAAATGGCCGTCTGGGGGCCGGGCCGCCGGGCTGGGGCGCTGCATATGCATGAGGGGGCGGGGCGGGGCCGCGCCCGCCGGGGCTCGGGGCTGGGGTTCCGCGCGTCCACCCCGGGCTGCGGACCCCACCGCGGTGCCGCCCCAGTCCCGGCCCCGGAGCGCGTGCGTGCCAAGTGTGGTCGTAAGCGTGAGGCGAGAGTGGGGGGAAGTCGAGAAAACGACGGATGACCGTAATGGTATATGTCAGGGACTGTGTGGATGAAAAACAACGCGTGGTCGAAAAACACACGTATTAACTGAAGTTAGGTTAGAGAGAGTACATACCCTGCTTCAGAGTTCAGATGGTGACTGCACTTACGTTAAAAAAAAAAAAAAGTATAGGCAGTGATTGAGGATGAGAGCTGACAGGGTAAATTGTGGCAGGACTCTGTGAGGAATAGGACAGGAATATGGGGAATAAATCACAGTGGTTGAGTCTGCTTAGACAGGCGTGGATATAGTAGACTGTGTGTATGTTGGTACCGTGCCCTGGTGGCTATGTTGATGTGTGAGGAATGTATGGTAATCGCAAATGCGGAGTGTAAGAGATCAGTATTTACTTGGTGACATGCTTTCTACCTGCCAGGCAGTCTGCCCAATTAGGCATGTTTTCATGGGCTGTTAGTATTTACTTGGTGACGTGCTACCTAGCAAGCGGTCTGCTCAATGCTACAGATGTTTTTAGGCACATATTTGTGTCCCTACCCTCAAGGAACTTGGATTCAATGGTGGAGACAACCAAGGCAAATTATAAGGCATAGTGATCTAGGCACCATCAGGCACGACGGTGTGTACTCAGTAGATAAGCACTCACCCCCAGAGTTGGATGGTCAGAGGAGGCTTTCCAAAAATACCTGAAAAATAAATCATATACATAAATGTACGATTGGAAGAAAAATATCCCAGTGAAAGGAAACCACATATGCAAAAGGTAGATCTGAGGAGGAAAGCATTGGCATGATGTTCAATGCCAGTGGTTGTGATTGGTAAAAGCTGATTGTCTGTGTGTGCACCAGATTGATCGACTGTAGCAGGAACCACAGCTGTATGTAAAGGCAGTATAGAGTAGCAATTAAGATCATGGGCTCTGGGGCCAGAAAGGATTAAATCCTACCTATGTTCACCAATGGCAGTGAGAACTTAACCTCTGCACCTCAATTTCCTCCTCCCCAAAATGGAGGTATTTTAATAAGAAATAAATTAACATAATACACCTAAAACAGCTGGGAGCCTGTGGCTCCTAGCTACTCAGGAGACTGAGAACGAGGATCTCAGTTTGAAGCCAGCCTGGGCAGACAAATTTAAGGATTCTGATCTACAATTAACCAAAAAGCCCAAAGGGGAGGTGTGATTTAAGTGGTAGAGCACCAAACTAGATTGAATAAGCTAAGCAAGATGTGTGAAGTTTAAGCCCCAGTACCAGAAAACGGAAAAAAAAAAAACCTTTTATTTGGGAAATAATTTCAATATGTAAAGTATAAAGAATGCCCATAGATTCTTTATGCAAATTTAAATTTCTTTTTTTACTATTATCAGAGTCATTTTTTAAATTTTTTGTTTTTGGTGGTGGTGGTGGTGGTGAGGCTTGAACTCTGGGCCTGGGCACTGTCCCTGAGCACTTCAGCTCAAGGCGAGCACTCTACCACTTTAGCCACAGCGCCACTTCCGGTTTTCTAGTGGTTTGTTGGAGATAAAAATCTCACCGGAATGTATGCATTATCCTGCCCATGTAATTGTAACCCCTCTGTACAGTATGTTCTCAAATAAAATAAAATTAAATTAAAAAAAAAAAATCTCACCGGCTTTCTTGCACAGGCTGGCTTTGAACCATGATCCTCAGATCTCAGCCTCCTGAGTAGCTAGGATTACAGGCATGAGCCACCGGTGCCTGACTTAAATTTATTTTTATTGTAAAGGTGACAGCGGGGTTACAGTTACATAGTCAGACGGTAATGTGTACATTTTTTGAACAGTGTAAAAATATGGAATGCCTCACAAATTTGCATGTCATCCTTGCACAGGGGCCATCAGAATCTTCTCTGTATCCTTCCCATTTTAGTATATGTTCTGCCAAACCAGCGCCCAAATTTTCTTACTACAAACATTTTTTACTTGCTTTATCGTTGCATTCTTCTCTCTCTCTCAGTAGGTCTAACATTGACTGGAATACTTTTGTGCAATCTTTCACTCATCTTTATCAGTTGACTTAACATCATTTAGAGCATTTTTCTCCTCTAGAACAGGATCCAGAACCCAGAGTCAGCCACGGCTTTTAATTGTCAGATCTCTGATTTGTATCAGTATGGTACAAAATGGTTCATTTAAGAAGCTTTTGAGCTTTGTTTTGGGTTTGGGTTTTGTTTTTTTTTTAATCTTTTTTTTTTTTTTTTTTTGTCGGTCGTGGGGCTTGAACTCTGGGCCTGGGCGCTGTCCCTCAGCTCTTCAGCTCAAGGCGAGCGCTCTATCACTTGAGCTACAGCGCCACTTCTGGTTTTTTTGTGGTTTATTGGAGATAGGTCTCTCCTGCCCGGGCTGGCATTGAACCACGATCCTCAGATCTCAGCCTCCTGAGTAGCTAGGATTACAGGCGTGAGCCACCAGCGCCCGGCGGGTTTGGGTTTTTTGATGTTGTTTGTTGCTTTGCTAAGAATTGGAGTCAGGGCCTTGTTCATGCAAGGCAAGCATTCTGATCCTGAGCTACACCTCCCAGCCAAGCAGCTTTGTTCTCTTGTTCTCTCTCCTCTCCTCATTCTCTCCCCTCCCCTCCCTTCTCCCCTCTTCCTTCCTCACCATCACCCCCTCACACACACACACATTTTTATTGATTTGTTTGGTTTTGGGTTTTGACCTGGTCTTACTATGTAGCTCAACTTCAAATTTATAATCTTCCCACCTGAGCCTCGGGTAGCTGGAAATACTAACCAACACCACCACAGTGATCTAAAGCAGCATTTTTTAAAATGTAATTTTATTGTTATTATTAAGGCATTGTTGAAAGGGGTTACCATGAGTACATTTCTTTTTTGGACAATGGCACCCTTTCCTTTGCTTTCCCCCAGTTTCTCTCTCCTAGCTCTGCCCACAAGTTACATAGGTCAGTTTCCACCTAGTGTATACTGAAGAGCATGATTGCATTTGTTTACCCTCCCTCCTCTGTGTGCTCCCACTTTGCCATCCATTAAAAAAAAAAAAAAAAGCAAAAGCAAAAACAAAAACAATACTACCAACAACAAAAAAACTACCCACGTTTGAAGCAGCATTTTTTTAAAATACTGATTACACAGCAATAGTGGCTGGAAAAGCCTCAACAACACATATTATTACCAGTGTGAAAGAGTAAGGAGAAAAAGAGAAAGAACAGAAATGAGAGCCTATATCAAGGAAATGGTGAGAAAGCGCCTGCCATGTTTCCCCCGATGCCTCTCAATGTGTGCCTAGCCCTGCAATTCCTCATAATCCCTCAGGACTCAGAAGATGATTCAAGAGTTCTGCTTCCAAGGAGGAGCACATGGACAGCTGGGCAAAATTTTCAGTACTTGGAAGGTTGATGCTGGAGAATCACTAGTTTGAGGCCATGCTGGGCTACATATCAAGACCCTCTCTCAAAAACAACTATATGCCAGTGGCTTGTGCCTGTAATCCTTGCCACCAGAGAGGCTGAGAATGAGAAAGATCACGTTTCCAAACAACATAAGGTATGTACATGAGACCACTTCTCAACTAATGGATGGACGCAGTAGCACACACGGTGTGTGAGAGAGATCAGGAGACTGGGTTCCAGCCCAGTCTGCAAAAAAGTCCACAAATTTTATCTCAATGGAAGAAGGTGGTTGTGGTGATATACGTCTGTCATCCCAGCTATGACAGGCAGCCTAAAATAGAAGGATCGCTGTCCAGACTCATGCCTGAGCAAGAAGCAAGACCCTATCTGAAAAATAATCAGGATGCCACTGGCTCACACCTGTAATCTTAACACTCAGGAGGCTGAGAGCTACTTGGAAGATACCTGTTTAAAGCCAGCCCAGGCAAGTCTGCAAGACCCCCATCTCCAATTAACTAGCAAAAAGCTGAGCTAGAGACTCCATCTCCAATTAACCAGTTTAAAAAAACCCTGAGGAATGGGTCAAGGGGTAAAGCACCAGGCATGAACAAGCAAGGGAAGCAAGTTCAAGGCCTCTCTAAGTTTAAGCCCCAATATTTAGGGAAGGAAGAAAGCAAAAAAAAAGGATGGGAGGTGTGGTATAGCTGTAGAGCACCTGCCAAGCAAGCAAGAACCTGAGTTCCAATCCCAGTACTAGCAAAGGAAAACATAAAATAAAAAGAAAAGAAACAATAAAATATACAAGCTGAGATCTTATATATATATATATGATGGCCAGAGTTTGTAGAGAGAAAACTCATTTTTAGGAGAACCTGTACTCTGACCTACTCTTCAACCCAAGTTTTAATTAAGATTTTCTTTCCTTCCTCTTCTGTACTACTTTGATCCATGTGTACAGGACAAAGCTAACACTGTAGATCATATATGTTCATTGCCTTCCTTGCACCTGTTTTTACTTCCCCTTTCAAGTAGTACAGAAGTCCCTTCATCCTTTAGGATACATTTCAAGACACCCAGAAGATGCCTGAAATTTTAGGTAGTAACCAACCCTATATATCCTAGGTTATGTGTATCTTAGCTAAAGTTTCATTTGCAAGTTAAACATAGTAAGAGATCAATACCAAGTTCTTTATATGGATGTATAACTGTAGAATAATGAAACCTTTTGAAATTGTCTTAAGAGAAGGGATGAGGAAGAGTGATAAAGGTGGTGAGTTTGATAAGCTACATTGTATGAATATATGGAAATGTCACAATGAAATCTCCTTGCACAACTAATATATGCGAATACAAATTTTAATTAATAGCAACCACTAATGATAAAATAAAGCTATGATAATATACTATAAGAAAATTGGGGAGCTGGGAAGGTGGCTCAGTGGTAGAGCGCTTGCCTTGCATGCCTGAGGCCCTGGGTTCCATTCCTCAGCTCCACGTAAGCAGGGGAAAAAAAGCCGGAAGTGGCACTGTGGCTCAAGTGGTAGAGTGCTAGCCTTGAGCTGAAGAGCTGAGGGACAGTACCCAGGCCCAGAGTTCAGGCCCCATGACTGGACCCAAAAATAGAAAAAAAAAAAAAGAAAAGAAAATTGGGATGGGCACTGGTGACTCATGCCTGTAATCCTAGCTGAGATCTGAGGAAGCCAGCCCAGGCAGACAAATCCATAAGACTTATCTCCAATTAACCAGCAGAAAGCCAGAAGTACAGGTGTGGTTCAAATGGTAGAGTGCCAGCCTTGAACAAAAGAACCAAGGGAAAGTGTGAAGGCCTGAGTTCAAGCCCAGTTTACTGGCACACACACAAAATAAAAAGAGAATGGATAACAAAAGGACAGAAGGAAGTAAAAAAGAAAGAAAAAGAGAGAAAAGGTTGGACAACCATCACTGTTGTATTGTGGGGCTATTCTGAAACAAATAAGGGTTACTTGAACATGTTTAATGAATATCACAACAGTTGATCTGATAAAGAAGACTGTGACTAATAGGTAGCAGGTAGGATATACTACATGGATCCAGTGGGTAGTAGGATGATTCACTTCCTGGATAGGGCAGAGCAGGGCAACATGAGATTTTGTCGTGTTACTCAGTACAGCATGCATAGAAATTTTTTACTTATGAATTTTTTACTTCTTGAACTTTCCAATTAATATTTTCCAACTGCAACTGGCCATAGGTAATGGAAACCATGGGATACAAAACCATAGGTAAGGAGTTGGGGGCGGGTGGGACATGACACTATTGTATCTCTGAATTTCCCCCTCTATATTTTGACAGTGACTCACCTCTATATCCAGCTCCACAGGTTGAACCAAATTCACTTAAGATGATCATCCTCCCCTAGCTAGTGTAATTACAGTGCGGTCAAATGATGAAAGTCAGACCAATCAGGAACAGATTCAGTTGCTGAACCCAAAGTATAAGAGTCCCACTTGTGGTTTTCACTAAGAGGCCACTTCACAACAACTAGGAAGACCGTAGTCCATAAGAGAAATAATAATAACTGTTGATGAGGATGTAGAGGAACTAGAATCCTTCACTGCTGATAGGTTTATAAAATGGTCCTCCTACTTTGGAAAACAATCTGGAAGTTCCTCAGGAAGTGAAACACAGAGTTACCACACCACAGCAATTCTAGTCTTAGTTAAGTATTCCCAACAGAAATGAAATGTAGGACTATCCTCACAAAACCTTGTTTGCTCCTGTTCACAACAGCATTACTTATAATAACCACAAAATATAAGCAATTCATTGAGACATTAATAAATGGAGCATGTTCATATAATATAATATTACCTGACAATAAAAGATACAAGATGGCTGAATCCTGAAAATATTATGCTTAGGGAAAGAAGGCAAATATAAATGACCTCATGTTATATGATTCTATTTATGTAAGAAGTCCCAAATAGGCAGCTGTGGAGAGATAGAAGTGGACTGTGGTTGTCAGGGTAGTAGCAAGTGATAATAGGCAAGAAGATCCTTTTGGCGAGGATAAAAGTGTTCTGAAATAAGATGCTGGTGTTGATTGCACAAGTATTCTAAAAAAACTATGACAAGGTATTTTTGTTGTTGTTGGTGGTGGTGGTGATGGGGCTTGAACTCTGAGCCTGGGTGCTGTCTCTAAGCTAGAATTACAGGCGTGAGCCACTGGCACCAGGCTAACTATGACAGATTTTCAGCATGATTCCCTGTTAGTTAGTTTCACATCACTGTGACAAAACACCTGAGCAAAACAACTTAAAGAAGGAAAGATTTATTTTTGGTTCATGGTTTCACATCTGAGTCCATGGTCAGCTGGCCCTATTGCTTTGAGTATGAGGTGAGTCAGAAAATCCTGGCAGTGGGAGCCTGTGCTTAAGCATAGACACTGCTTACCTTGGTGTGGTAAGAAAGAGAAAGGAGCTGGGGCTGAGTTCAATGGGAAAATGAGTGCTTAATATGTGCAGAACCCTAGGTTCATTCCCCACCAGCAAAAAGTGTAA